CAACCTTTTCATATTCATCATGTCATATAAGGATGGAGACACTGTGAAAGTCATCGGGCTCACATGTTAATTGGACGGTTGGTCACCCAGAACAACTAACCAATGCAGGAAAATGCCGCCAGTTTTGAAGCTTCCTTTTCATGCATTGTGCATTTGTAGCTTTTGGACCAAAAAGTAAATACAGATCAAAAGATGAAAACTGTAAAACCTCACATAGGAAATGATTTTATGTTAGACGCACAAACTTAAGCCTAAAATCCCTTAAACTCTTATGTAAATACCTTAAATCTATGTGATATTTATAACACGATTCAAAGGGTTGAGAGGACGCAGCTTCCCATGTTGTGATAAAAAGCAGGTGAAACACCTGAGATCACCGCCTCAGGTGACAGGAGACAAACAAAGACGAACAAAATCCACATCATCGATCTAAAATCACTTTCATTCAGTAAAAATCATGTTCAGCGCTGCTATTTACAACACAAACCACATCGCAGATGTTTAAAGAAGAAGAAAGCACAGTAAATCCAATGCGATATGATAACATTCAAAAGCGTCCCGATTACCTTCTTCACAGCGCATCCACACGTGGGGACAAAGGGAATCCCAGCGCCTCTTTGCGCGTTGTTTTCGGACGAGATCCGCTGTCACTACATCGGAAAAGGTCTTTTATTCCGTCTCAGCAAGTGTTCTCGCCATCCTCTGCTGGGATATGTTCGCTCTACAGCTGTTATCCAGGCTCTTCGCTCGTTTCTTTCTCTTTCTTTCCCCCCCCTTTCTTTTATTCACATGATCAAAGGTTTACCCACTTTTTCCGAGATTTAAACAAAACTGTAACAAACCCGAAACGCTCGACCAAACTGGTTACCTTTGGTCTCAGTTGCATATCCTGTCGTTTAACTATTCGGAAGCTCCGTTCCCAGACCGAGCTGCTTTATGTGTTGATGGGGGAGGTTGGAGAGCATGTGCGAGCTTTCGCATCTGAAATCCATCTGAAAGTCAGTGCGCCTCAACGATCATCCCTCCCTCCTCAGCCTCAGCAGACACGGAGCGCGGACCAATTGAGAGGCAGGAAGAGAGAGAGAGAGAGACGCGAGATGAGAGCGTGCCAGTCTGGTGTGGGACCAGGGACGTCAAACACGCAGGGATCAGCAGAGTAAAGCACAAATAAAAAGACAAGGAGACCGTTTGGACACATTTTTAAAGGACGTAATAAAATAAACGTTATGTCAC